TCACAGTCGACGTCACCTCAAATTGGACATTCCCATGCAAGATCATTCCTCCGATGCAGCAGCCACTCCAACATACTACTACTAACTGCTCCCACGAGAAGTTGGTTATAGCGCTTCCTGTCATAACCTCCAAGACGCTACAGACATGCTTTACTCCTCGGTCACACAATCGTGTTAGCGTCAGATATTAACCATTAACCCTAAACCTATTCCATACAAAGTTGATAATAAAGCTCTGTCCATGCTTCTTCCTGTTTGCTTGGATGCATTGCTTGCCAGCTGCCCAACTGAGTTGACTGATGGGCCATGCTTCATTGGAAAACCGAAAAGAAAAAAGGGCAGGTCAATAAGAAGCAAGGGGGAGAAGCAAGAGGAGCAGAAATAAGTTAGGTTACAGAAATAACCGGAAATAAGTCTGAGGCACCAAACCAAAGAAAGTAAACGCCGCTCGACGAGGCACTCTTCCAGCTGGCAGTGACAGATAACCCGTGTTGACCAAACGAAACACAAGCAAACGTTACAGCCGTCACATTTATAATTGTGAGTGGCTTCCCCTGATTGCCTCCTGTGTGCTGAAGACAAGCTCATCCATGTAGCGACCCACCCTCCATGACACCAGGATGTTCAATTGCTTGTCTCAACTAGACAGACTCCGGGCATTCACTCCGGGCTCCCAAATATTGTCGCTTCCAGGTTTCCAAACATCTGCTAACAACCCTGCCTATTGTCTGATGGCATCGTCGAATCTCCTCTCCCGTTGCTTTGTATCATAAACAAGTAATAACGATTTCAAAAATAGAATACAACCACGACTCAAGTCCACACAAACAGGTATGTGTATGATGTATACACGGGTTATTTGTTCAGGCACTTCGCCTCTTTCCATGAACGGAACTGGCAGCTAGCTAGGAAACTGTAAAGTTTAACGAGAAGAGACATTCAAATTTGACCTAAAACGTCAAAGTCACCAGATTTAATTGTCTAAAGCAGTGGTTCTCAACCTATGAATCACGACCCTTTCAGGTCAAACGACTCTTTTTCAGTGGTCGCCAAAGACTATCGCAAAACAAATATTCATTGCAGTTATGAAGTAGCGGTCGGCTCTGTGGCTAAGTCGATGCGAACGCTTTGTAATGCCGGGGTGCCGGGTTTGATCCCAGCTGCGGGCCATTCGCCTTGCGTTGGTTTTGACAGTGGTATCAAGAAAGCTGACCGTCCAGGAAGCAATGGCAAACTACTGGACGTATATTTGCTTAGAAAAACCACACAACAGACAGGGGCTGTTGGGGTTGGTTCTGCAACGTCCTGTAAAGGATACACAACGAACCTATGAGGTAGCGACGAAAATAATTGTGTGGCTGGGGGTTGCCACAACATAAAAGAAAACGTGAAGTTGGGAGATGTGAACCAGCTAGCGTAATTGCACACGGTTATAAACCATAAGTGCTCTGCCACCAGTACGGACAGCTGATAAGAAACTGTCCGCCTGTGTCATCGTCCGCAGGTAACTCCGCTACAGCAACGTTCTCCATTTATAATTTCATAGAGGCTGGGTGAACCCCGGAACTGCCCGGTTTCGAACACCGGTCGTAGGCTGCAGCAAGTAGCAGCTGGATTTGGAAGCGAGTCTCCTATCGACTGCGCTAACGCGGCCCCCTTGCGACAACATTAGGAACTGTATTAAAGGGTTGACACAACATGAGAAACTGTTTTAAAGGGTTGCCACAACATGAGGAACTGTATTAAACGGTTGCCATAACATGAGGAACTGTATTAAAGGATTGCCACAACATGAGGAACTGTATTAAAGGGTTGCCAGAACACGAGGAACTGTATTAAAGGATTGCCACAACATGAGGAACTGTATTAAAGGGTTGCCAGAACATGAGGAACTGTATTAAAGGGTTGCCAGAACATGAGGAACTGTATTAAAGGGTTGCCAGAACACGAGGAACTGTATTAGAGGGGTGCCACAACATGAGGAACTGTATTAAAGGGTTGCCACAACATGAGAAACTGTTTTAAAGGGTTGCCACAACATGAGGAACTGTATTAAACGGTTGCCATAACATGAGGAACTGTATTAAAGGATTGCCACAACATGAGGAACTGTATTAAAGGGTTGCCAGAACATGAGGAACTGTATTAAATGGTTGCCACAACATAAGGAACTGTATTAAAGGGTTGCCACAACATGAGGAACTGTATTAAAGGGTTGCAACAACATGAGGAACTGTATTAAAGGGTTGCCACAACATGAGGAACTGTATTAAAGGGTTGCCACAACATGAGAAACTGTATTAAAGGGTTGCAACAACATGAGGAACTGTATTAAAGGGTTGCCACAACATAAGGAACTGTATTAAAGGGTTGCCACAACATGAGAAACTGTATTAAAGGGTTGCAACAACATGAGGAACTGTATTAAAATGTGTCCATAACATGAGGAACTGTATTAAAGGGTTTCCACAACATAGGAACTGTATTAAAGGGTTTCCACAACATGAGGAACTGTATTAAAGGGTTGCCACAACATGAGGAACTGTATTAAAGGGTCGTGGCATTAGGAAGGTTGAGAACCACTGGTCCGAAGCAACAAGCCGTTCTGATGCCTAACATGGCTATAGTCACGTGATAACTGCCATTCGCTGCGGAGTTGGAGAGCGCGGTTGATTTGCAACAGGTGACACATGAAACATGTTGTTGATGCTGGGATGATTCTGAAACCAGAAACCGTGGCTATTGAATTGTTGGATTTAGTTAAAGTGTTCCTTAAGTATTCGATTAAAAAATGTAAGTAAATGGCTCTAAAGTTAAAGTCGAAAAGATTAACTTTTTGCACTAAGTATATGCCATATGGTTTGGTCTCTCTCCGCATAACGGCTTGCCACCTGCTGAGATTGTCACTAGAACACGAACTCCATAGTTCCAGAGACGATCTCTAGGGATATATGTACAGACTGCAATTGTGAACTAAAGGAGTGCCTGGGCAATGAACAGACGATCTTCAGAGTGCAAGGCGAAGGGCTTGACCTACCAATCAAATACCTTTCTTAAATGTTTGTGTATTCTAGACAAAGCAATAAGGTCTTACTGTGTTCGTAAATTGTTGCTGTGATTGTTATTCGACATTTGCTTCGTTGATATAAATTTCTGTAACCTATGGTGCCATTTCAATGGGTTGAAATGAATTCTGTCCGTATTCCATAGTTGTGGATTTCAAGCTGTACGATAGACATGGCCAATGAGACATCTTTTTTTGGGGGTGCCGAGTTAACCATGTATCTTAGTGCACTTGTATTCATGGCGAGGCGCAGACGCCGTCTGGAGGTGACAGGTTCAATTCCCGGCACGGTAACTATAGCTTTCGAATTTTATGTTGTCTAGTGTGTTCTTCTATCTTTCTACTTTCTATGAGTGCCGTTCACAATACTTTCTGTTACTTGATTAATTCATAATATTTAACGGCCTCAAATGGTTCCCCCCTCTGTTTATTTATAGGATTGACCATATCGCCACGGTGACCCAAAGTAAAGAACCATTCACGCCTTTACGTATTAGATATATGGTGCTGAAACCATTTAATGGACCAGTTAGTCAGGATCATTTATGGATTCTTATATAAATTTTATAAGCCTTGGCTTGCTTGCGAAAAACAAATTGTCACATTCAACCAGCATCCCTGAAGAGGGAGCTTTAGGTTATAATTGTGACAAGGTTATGTGCGCCACATAAAATGGTATAGCATTGCTCGCTACCAAGCAGCTCTGAAAAGGACTCCTGCAGTGCTGAAGCGATCAAAGCAGACAGACCCAGTTACTGCCCTGACCAGCGACGATGTCGTCTACCGGCGAGCCAATAGGCGATCTGGTCGCAGGTGATTTTATAAGTGCTAAACAGGGCTATTGAAGTTTACTTGTGGGCCAAAATGTCGAAGATGGATACAATACAAGCCGAAGGCTCGAGCGCCAGCGCAGAAAGGTATTTAATACATGATGAATTATAAACTTGTTGACCACTAGCTAGATCTTTGCGGGCCGGATTCTGCACGCGGGCCGTCATTTAAATGATCATGTGCTATGAAGTCATAGTCATGGCTACCTACGCCGAAACTTAGCCGGAAAATACTTATTAATTAAACCTCCCAAAATCCCCACTACAAAAAGTGCAGTCTAAAAGATTCATACCCAGTGACTTCTTCTTCTTTCTTCTTCTTCTTCTTCTCTTCCACCTTGTACCTCATCGAAGTGTCGGGGGAAGATGTAATGTTCGTTGATGAGCTCTGTCAAGAGCACTATCAAGACATGTTCATTTCTGTAAGGCTGTTCTTAATGACATCACTCCATATTTTCCGAGGTCTTCCATTCGCCTTATACCCGTTGTAACGTTTTAGTGTGGCTCGCTGTGGCAGATAGTACCAGGGCATACTTGTTAGGTGTCCAAACCATTTCATTTGTTGTTCTTTGATGACCTGTAAGACTGGCTTTATTCCTAGCATTCGTCTGATTTCATGATTTTACCCAGTGACTGACTGCCGTTTAACCCTACCAGGACATCACACCTAGCGATAAACACCCGCTGATACGAAGTGCCACAATTCGGATCAGGATCACTCGGGGACAGGTTCCAGAAACCCTGTTAAAGCCCTACGGTTATAATTAGGGCCTCCGACCACAGCCAGGATGAGCTTAAAAATAACAGAATGCGGGACGGTCAGTTAATTAATACCCAGTGACTCGTGGAGGATGATGTTTATACCTTATGTGTTAAGAATCCGGTTTTATAATTCCTAAATACCCGTTTCTTTATAGCATTACAAGATTTTGCAACTGACTTTTTTTACCCATTGATTTCAACAATGGTATGAGCTAGGAACTTTCCACTAGAAAAAGGTGTATATATTTGTTTTTAAAACCGCCATCAAATGGTAACTTATTGCAAACAAAAATTATTGCAACTTTTTGACTTTTTTTGTTTTAAATCCACTTGTTCAGTTTTCCATGGCTGTTGGTGGTCATCTGTTTTTTCTACTGGTCAGTTTTGGATTTGTGACGTCTGTAGAAAGAGGCTTCGTGTATTGTCCGGCCTACCCATGCAAGTGTGAGTCTGTGGACGGAGCTCTGGTGATCAACTGTAGGCATCTCTACTTGTTATCACTGCCCAAGTTTCTCTCTTTCGAGGGAAGGATCAAAGAGCTTTCGTTGAGGTATGTAGTCTGAAGGACTGGTAACAACAACTTCACATTATACTTCTTCTTCTTCTTCTTCTTCTTCTTCTTCTTCTTCTTCTTCTTCTTCTTCTTCTTCTTCTTCTTCTTCTTCTTCTTCTTCTTCTTCTTCTTCTTCTTCTTTTCTTCTTCTTCTTCTTCTTCTTCTTCTTCTTCTTCTTCTTCTTCTTCTTCTTCTTCTTCTTCTTCTTCTTCTTCTTCTTCTTCTTCTTCTTCTTCTTCTTCTTCTTCTTCTTCTTCTTCTTCTTCTTCTTCTTCTTCTTCTTCTTCTTCTTCTTCTTCTTCTTCTTTTTCTTCTTCTTCTCTTCTTCTTCTTCTTCTTCTTCTTCTTCTTCTTCTTCTTCTTCTTCTTCTTCTTCTTCTTCTCTTCTTCTTCTTCTTCTTCTTCTTCTTCTTCTTCTTCTTCTTCTTCTTCTTCTTCTTCTTCTTCTTCTTCTTCTTCTTCTTCTTCTTCTTCTTCTTCTTCTTCTTCTCTTCTTCTTCTTCTTCTTCTTCTTCTTCTTCTTCTTCTTCTTCTTCTTCTTCTTCTTCTTCTTCTTCTTCTTCTTCTTCTTCTTCTTCTCTTCTTCTTCTTCTTCTTCTTCTTCTCTTCTTCTTCTTCTTCTTCTTCTTCTTCTTCTTCTTCTTCTTCTTCTTCTTCTTCTTCTTCTTCTTCTTCTTCTTCTTCTTCTTCTTCTTCTTCTTCTTCTTCTTCTTCGTCTCTTCTTCTTTTTCTTTTTCTCCTCCTCCTCCTTTTCCTCCTTTTCTTCTCCTTCTTCTTCTTCTTCCTCTTCTTCTTCTTCTTCTTCTTCTTCTTCTTCTTCTTCTTCTTCTTCTTCTTCTTCTTCTTCTTCTTCTTCTTCTTCTTCTTCTTCTTCTTCTTCTTCTTCTTCTTCTTCTTCTTCTTCTTCTTCTTCTTCTTCTTCTTTTTCTTCTTCTTCTTCTCTTTTTCTTCTTCTTCTTCTTCTTCTTCTTCTTCTTCTTCTTCTTCTTCTTCTTCTTCTTCTTCTTCTTCTTCTTCTTCTTCTTCTTCTTCTTCTTCTTCTTCTTCTTCTTCTTCTTCTTCTTCTTCTTTTTCTTCTTCTTTTCTTCTTCTTTTCTCTACTCCTGGAATGCCTCACATCGTCAGGTCAGAAAGAGATCTCTGGAACGGGCCCTTTTGTTTGCTTCGTATAAAGTACTTTTTAGCGTCACTGATATTTCTGCGGTCCTTATTCTGCGTGGTCCACCTCTAGATCTATTACCATTGTATCTGTGTAACATTTCTCTCTGTGGTGCTCTGTTTGATGCCAATCTTGATGACAACAAAACATTGGAATACTGCATCAGTGAGGGTCCACATACACAGCATATTGTGGGTGACCTGTGCTGATAGGTTGACTGAGTTTGCTTGACTTAAATTGGGATGTACAAGTATACATACATGTTGGCTGGTTGGATATAGACCATATCGTGCTTTTGGGGACTAAAGCGGTAATCGCCCTCATACAACTAGTCCCCTTTACCAACAGTCTACTTTAGAATCTGACACGCATCAGCTGCCTATAGAACGATTTCTCCTATTTGCTTGCAGTTGTTATGTAACTTATTATAGACGTTATCTCGAAATATTATCTTTTGTTTTATAATGAATATAGTTTTTTTTGTTCTTTTAATGAGGGGAAAATATAGAGAAGAAAAGAGATAGAAAACGGTAAAATAACATGAAGTCTTTGTCAGCGTTACAAACACGAATGACCGTGAACAGAAGACGCTGCAGCGATTAGCTTTCATCAGCAAAGCAACGACAATAAACAAAACAACACACACACACACATATATTGACTCTGAAATCACTATATTAAAACATAATGTACACGACTGAGACAAAGTAATAACAAACGACATAATTATATAAAGTATGTGATAATGCATCTCACAGGTATAACAACATCCGACATCTTCCCGCCAACGGCTTTCAAGGTCTGCATATTGAGGACTTAGACTTGCTGGACAATGCAGTCACTTCCGTTGACCAGGATGCATTCACAGGACTGGAAAACTCTCTGAGGTCGCTGTCCTTACAAGTTTACGCCATGTATGGCCTGCCTACAATGACCCTTTCTCGGCTTTCTTCGCTACAAAGTTTGAGTATTATTGGATGTAACCAGCGGGAGATTCTGCCTGATCTCTTTCAGAACCTGTCTGCTTTGGAAGAGCTTCATTTGATCGGCTGTCGAATAGCTCGCATTCAGCCTGGAGCCTTATCTCCGATGTTTCATCTGAAGACTCTTGTATTATCACAGAACGCACTTGAAAGTCAACACCATGCAGAGATAAGTCAGCTGAAAAATCTAATGACATTAGATCTCTCATCCAATAATATACAGAGTCTCAGCAGTCTCATGTTCCCAAGCTTCTCCAAGTTGAAAAGCTTGAATGTCGCCTCCAATAATTTGACATGGATCGCTAAAGAAACGTTCTACAATCTGGACTTTTCTTTGGAAGAGCTTGATCTGCGAGACAACCACATTGTCGACGAGGTTCTTGGCTCCCTTGCCAACTTGCGGTTACTGTTGCGATTGGATATTAGCGACAATAATATCTACAATCTGTCCGGTGAGTACTTCTCCGGAATGAGATATCTACAGATCCTGAAAGTTGCCAACAACAAGGTAAAAAGTATTGGCAGACATAGTTTTTATGGACTTGGGCCATCTTTGCTGGAATTGGACCTTCACGGTAATCCTCTGGATTTAATAAAACCAGGGACATTTGTGGATTTTCGTGTGTTGGAAAAGTTAAACTTACGACACACGAAACTTGGCAGGACATTTGGACCATACACGTTTACTGGACTGTCGCATTCGCTAAAATACCTTGATATCAGCATGTCAGAACTGATTACCGATGACCTCCAGGCCTTTTCATGCTTAACAAATATCACCGACCTGGATGTAAGTAGCAACAACATCTGCAGCATTGACATGACAGTTCTGACGATATGGAGCCAACTAACACGTGCTAATTTCTCCAACAACAACGTATCCACGTTTGTCACCGGTCATCTCTCAGTTTCTGGGTCATCCTTGGAGACATTAGACCTGTCTGGGAATAATATCCAGGCAATCCATGAATGCGGTTTCTTTGTCTTCAGAAATCTTCGTGACGTCTACTTACATGGCAACCCTCTTGCTTGTAATTGTAGTTCATCTTGGCTGTACAGGTGGCTACAGATTCGACATGTAAGCCCGGATCAAAGCACTCACAGGTGGACATGCTCTAGTCCAGCATTCTTGCAAGATTCATATTTCTCGGACTTGGAGTTTTCAGACCTCAAGTGTCCACCATCACTAGATCAGGAAGACCAGTGTTTTAAGTTATACGACACCCCACTTCCTCACGACATCTTGTTTGAAACCAGAATTGTATCCTTGAATTCTACGCCGCCCTGCGAGTCTTTATGTTTGAATATCTCGCGACCAGATACGAATTATGTCTATGTGGAATGGCTAGCGAAAAAACTTCAATGGGGATTATGTGTATAACATATCCCTAAACAGGCACAACGATTCATTGGAAGTACAGTCAGCAGTACTTCCCTCCATTTTTCGCAATTATTCTTTTGTTAATGTCGACAACTCCATTGATATGGATGTTTGCATCGTTGCCCAAGCAAAAACCTCCATTCCATTGGCTGAGAGATGTCACGTGGTACCTACATACGTGGAAGACGAAAGCCCTCCAGGAACCAACGATTTGAACAAACTTATCCAGAATTCCCTTATCCCGCTTCTGTGTCTTTATATTTCTGCCAGTCTTGCTGTTGCCTTCCTGGTGGCGTGCATTGTCGTCTGCATTAAAAGACAACACAAAAAGCCGAAGCGAATCAAACCCTTTTACCTGACTTACCCTGCATGGTACGACAATCGATCTTCCATATCCGGTTCATCTTTGGTGTACGACCCACACGGCATCCTCTCCGGCAACTTGCACACCCGCAGCACGCTTCTTGCTGACAGACTGGGCTTCAGCCGTCTTGACCCCGACTCATCAGATCTGCCTTCCATGGTGTCCAGTCGTCGAGAGTCTAGACTGTGTCCAGGAAACCACAACTGCACATGTAGCACTGTCATCTCGGTGCTTCCCCACTCTGGAGAAGAAAGTGTGACAGGACAAACAGAAGGCGATAATGAGTTTTTCTTCCACTTCTAGGAGGCTGCGTGGTCTCGAGGCATGGTGTCCGCCTCGAGTGCTAGAGGGTTCTGGCTTCAATCCCCTGTAAGGGTTGGGATTTTTTCACGTGGACTTGGACTTCTAGTAATTCCCCCTGGTCTCTGGGTGGTGAGATCGGGCACAGGTGTGCATTGTCGCACACGCAAAAAATCCCTTGGCAGTTGGAAATCGAAAAGTGTAGCCTAAAGGCGCTGCCAGGACAAAATCTGGAGTTAAATATCTACCCAAAGTATTTCAGGATCCTCCCCGGTGCTACAGAGCCTGTGCACTGTGCTGAGCTTCTTCAGACTCTGACGAGTTAGAAGAAGAACGGAGCACTTATGGGTTACTACCCGTGTGCCATGATGTTGATCCATTGTTCAAACCTCAAACCTCTTCCACATCTTAACCACACGTGCATCTTATATTCTGCCCGTCTAGCTGGACAGCATGAACTGTTAGCAGGGTCGCTGAAATATTTACAATGGCAGCAGAAATATAGTTTCTAAAAAAGATGCAAAGAACTGACAGAACAACAAATGAGACAGTTCTCACAGATTCCCGTATGGGTTCCGAGGTCCTGTCGTGTGAGAAAACAAG